TCCTTTTGTCACATGGAATCGTGAACAATTGTAAATTAAACTTGAGATAATACAGTTATTACTAAATAATTTAAAACTAATTATATCACTGTAAACTAGATTAAATACAAACTTTGATATATAACTTATAAATAAACCCTAAAAAAAAAACTATTAAAATTAATTAAAGAAAACGATATGACAAAAAGGCTTGTCAACCATGGAACACCAGCGCCCTCCTTTTTTATTATTATTATTATTATTATTTTCTCGTTTTCGTTTTAAACGATGATAATGATAATGATGATGAGGCTTATTTAAAAAGTAAAATTTTTTTTTGAACTTTATTATTAATAAATAAATAATTAATTAATGTTAGAAATTGATTAGAACTGTATATTTAGTCGTGCCTAATTATATATACATATATATTTATTTATAAATAAATAATTACATAGATATATAAATAAATAATAATACATAGATATTAATAATATTTTATTAAAAATAAAAAAAATTTACGCATTTACCAAATTCGATAAGTGATTCATTGATTGATTTATTAATCGATTATTTCGTTTGGATTTTTCTTTTTTATAATAAATAAATAAAAATAATTAAAAGTTTTGTTTATTATTATTATTATTAATAGCATTTTACGAATTATTAATTAATATATATATATATGTATAATTTAATAAATAATACACAATCGAACGCGCACTCATTGATTTTATATATAATTGTTATTATTTTTATTAAAATGCACAAAAAAAATAATTTTGGGTTACCATATTAACTGTTATTATTATTATTATTATTATTATTATTATTATTATTATTATTATTATAAATAAATACACGGTTAAATAATAAAATCGTAGGTTTTAAAAAAAAAAAAATTTTTTTGTTTTGATATAATCATTTCGCCATTTTAAATAACTAATCCATTTCCTTTAAAAATAATTTTTTTATATATTGTGTTACCATTTAATTTCCTTTGAATTGTCATAATTATTTCCTTTGTTTGTTGCATTTTTATTTTATTAAAGGGTTTAAGAATTTTGCGAGTTTCGTGTACCTTATTTGCAAATTAAAGTTGACAATAATCAATTGCGAAAAAACACAAGAGATTCCTCAAGAGTTCAAGGTTTGGTTCAAGTTAAAAAAAAAATTTATTATTCTACTTCCACGTTAAAAATTTTTTTTTTCTTCTTCTTTCGTCCTTCCTAAAGATACGCAAATTTAAAAAAAATTTTTTTTTTTTTAGATTAATTTCAAGGTTGAACAACCTTTGGTTGTTTGTTGCAAAAAATTTTTTTTATAAAAGTTTTCATTTCATATTGTTTTTTAACGTGGAATCAGACAACGATTTGTATATTAAAAAAAAAATTATTATTATTATTTATTTTAAACATCATTTTTTTTCACATAATAATAATAATAATTGTTATTATAAAAAATAAACTATAGGATGATGGGTAAAATGGTTGATTTTTCTTTAGAGCAACAAACAAACTTAACTTAACAAAACAAAAATGGTTGTTTTTATATACAAATTTTTTTTTGGGAAAACATAATTTACAAGAGGTTGTTTGTTGAAAAAAAAAAAAAAAAAAAAAAAACAAATTCATGTTTTCCTCCATGTTTAGAAAAAAGAGGAAGAAGTTGACTGACTGACTTTTATATATATCAAAGGATTTTTTTTTTTTTACTACAAAAAATTGCCATTTTTGTTTTAATTCCTTTCGGGCGTTTTTTTTTTATTAAACTCATGAAAAATAATAATAATAATAATAATAATTTTTTCAACGATTCGCCCACACTATTGAGTCTAGTTTTTATCGTCCTTGATCATTTTTTTTTTTTTTTTTCTAAAGTCATCACGAATTAAATTTTCAATGAAACCGTTTGTTTCAATACTTTAAATGGTAAAAGGAAAAAAAAAAACGACAAATTTTTGTGTTTTCACCTTGAATTTATATTTAATTTGTAATATATAACCTTCCAGAATTTTCTATTTTCCAAAATTAAAAAATAAAAAAATTTGTCAAATTTCTCCATAAGTGTGAGTTAATAATGGCGTCGTTTATTATTTAATTATCAAATCTTTAAAATAAAAATTTTCGACATGATGCGATGATGTTTATTATAACATTTAAAAAAATTTGTACGTTTCGAAATTTGACCTTTTACGTAGGGGTCAAAGTTTATTTTTTTTTTCCTCATTTAAAATAAATTTTTCGAGATCCCGCAAAATGTTTTTTTTTTTTTTTTTTTTTTAAAATTATTAACAAAAAAAAAAACCTTCCGCAATTCATATTTGTCATTGAAATAATTAACGTATGGGTGGTATTATATCTTATGTAAGTTAAAAAATCAATCAATCAATCAATCAATAAAAACAATCGATAATAATAATAATAATTTTTGACAAGTAAATTACATAAAAAATTTTAAATTTTTTTTTTAACACTTGTCGATGATCGTTTTTTTTTTCCTTTTTCTTCTTCTCAAGTGGGCGTAGAAAAAGAAAATTTTTTTAACCCGTATAATGGGATTTTATAATGGACTCCCCAGGAAAATACGGTAACTTCATATTAAATCTCATTTATTATTATTATTATTATTATTAATGTAATAACGTGGGGGGAAAAAAAAAAATTAAACGAACGAAATTAATTTTTTTTTCCTTTTTTTTTTTTTTTATTATAACCTAATAAAGAAATTTGGACTTTATATCTTATAGTGTAAGTGCACGTGTGCGCGTGCTTATATATACTCGTAAATTATTATTATTATTATTATTACCGTGAGTAAAAATTTTTACCAAATAAGGGAAGTTGTAAGTAAAAAAAAAAAAAAAAAAAAACGATTCAATGCCTTAACCTTTTTTTTTTTTAAAGGTTTTTTTTTTTTTAATAAATAAAATATTACACTTTTTCCTTTTACGGTTGTTTTCTTCTCTCTCTATCTATCTATCTATCTCTCTTAAATATTGATTTAATTGACACGATTATAATAAATTTAAATTGCTTTGGATACAAAAAAAAAAAAAAAATGATTATCCAACTTTTGTTGTTTTTGTTTTTCCGATGTTAAAGATCATAAGAATTTAAATAAATAAAAAAAAGAAAATTTTCTTTTTTTTCACTTCCGCTAATGTCTTTAGGTTAATTGATTTTTGAGAAAAATTTTTTTTTGATAAACGATTCGTTATATTATTTAATAATAATAATAATAATTTTTATCTCGTATAAATGTTAATATGAGATTAAGGGTAAATCGATAAAAATATAATAATAATTACGTAATTTATAAATTAATGATAAAAAAAAAATAAGAAGGAAAAATAATTTAAAAAATTGAATTTATTTATTATTAAAACCTTTATTATTATTATTATTATTATTATTATTATTATTATTCTAAAAATATTTTATCGATGGGTACTCTGCTGAAAACTCTGTGTGTCAATTCTTTAAAAACGGCACCGAAAGCATCTTCGAAAGATGGTCCCAATTCGTCGAAAACAACTTTCCAATTATCGTTTAAAAATTTATTTATTCCCAAGCCTAAATAAATAAATAAATAAATAAAATTTATTACAATTCGAAATACTAATAATGATGATGATGATACACGTACTCAAACGTTGATCTCCTAAAAGTCCTTCGAAATAAACTGTTGCCTTTTGAGGATTGAATTTGTTTTTAAAACTTTGTATAATCCAATAAGTTTCTTTACGTTTAACTTCCGGTTTAAATTGTAATTCTGCATCCGTTTTCAAATCGACTGAAATTCATAGAGAAAGAAAGAGAAAAACTTAACAATAAATTAATAAAATGTTACCAAATTAGTTTTTATCAATTATTATATAAATAATTATTATTCGATTGATAATGAAAAATCATTATTATCATTATCATTATTATTAATAAATCATTTTTTTTCTTTTGAATTTTCCAATAGGTTACGCGGTAACAATTTAACAAGGATTTTTAAATAATTACGACGTTAATTAATTAATTTTTCGACGTTTAATTGTCTAAAACTATAGTCGATAATAATAATAATAATAATATGCGTGTTTAACTTACACAAGGTGACATTACATTTTCCAGAACCTTTAACCGGAAGTAAAAGAACTTTACCATCGGCTTTATAATCAGCTTCGAACCATAATTTTGACGTTAAAGCCGTCGTCATTAATTTTCTTTCGTTTAAATTTACGCTTTAAAAAAAAAAATTGATTAATGTAAAATATGTAGTAGATTTTTTAAATTCTGATGCCACGACAAATTATTTTTAAAAAAATAATCTTACTTACTTGTATTCGATAAAATTAGAATCGGGAATTCCATACATTTTTAAATTCATAAAATGTAATTTAAGAGTAACCGGTCCATCTGATCCTGGATCTATTTTAATATCGTTAACGACTAAAGGTTCCAGAGGCAAAACACCTAAACTTGGAATTCCATCTTTAACAACAAAAACAAAATTCACAGAATTAATTAAAAAGACTCACGCGCACGCACACACAGGTACAGGCACGTAGAAAGTTTAAGGACGGAGTCAATATAAAAACCTTCAGAATAAATTAATTAATTTTTACAACTTTTATTTTCAAATTTTTTTTTTATTTTTAACATCATAATGAATCCATTATTACTGCTACCACGACGATATGCGTGCACGGTTAAATAACATTCTTATTAAAATAATAATAATAATAATAATATTCGTACCTGTTCTCATTTTTTTAAATGCATCTTGCACAGCACCTTGTATGCATTTACCAAAATCTGAATCCGATTTTTTACATTTTATGAAATTCTTTGCTAAAAAAACAAAAATTATTATTATTATTATTATTATTATTATTATTATTATTATTTCAATTTTAAATGAGTACATAAGCAAATAACTGATATTTTTCAATAACTTTCTCATTTTAATTGGTCAATTTAAAATTAAAAGGTTAAAATTACATTATTAAAAGATTAATAATAATAATAATAATAATGGTTAGGGATATATTATTAAAAGTGTTAATTAATAATAATAATAATAATAATAAGCTTGGTTTTTTTTTTTTTTAAAATTACAACAAGTTAATAATAATAATAATAAAAATTTCTCGTTAAGATAAAGAAGAATGAAAGAAAAATCATATCACCGATAACGTTAATTTTTTTTTTTATTATTAAAAAATGAGTTCAATGAGTCCTTCACGGTTTTTTAATAAAAAAAAAATTGTTGTTGTTGTTGTTGTTTGTTATAGTAATTGGACCGATACAAAAACCTGATTTTTATTTTTTTTTTCCATAATTTTTTCAATACCCGATTTGGAAGAAATGAAAAAGAAAAAAAAAAATGGGAACCCAGACGGAAAAATTAAAGTATCCTATAATGAAGATTACCTTAAATATAAAACAATACCATAATTGGTTGTTTGATTTGTTGTCTGCGTTTGTTTGTTTGTTAGAAAATAATTTAATAATATATTTTTTAATATATATATAACTTACAAAAATTTTATAAATAAATTATGATATATGACCCTGTCGTTGTAATTTTTCAATAACCAAATTTGGTATTAAAAAGTTTTAAACAAAAAAATTTAAATTTAAATTTGTTTTATTAAAAAATTAAAACAAATAAATATTTAATAAACATTTAGTAAATAAATAAATAAAAAATTATTAACTTATTTTAAATATACATACGTAATGAATGTTTTAAAGTTTGACAAAATGATAACGAACAAAAAATAACGGTCACAATTAAATAATTCATTATTTTTATTATTAACTAAAAAAATTTTTTATAATTTTCTCGTCGCGTACTTCTTTTATTAACTTAGTTTAACAATAAAATCAATTAAGGTATATTTTACCACATAATTAAATAGATATTTTTATAAACCTTAAGGCACACCGTCTCTTCATTTTTGTTTTTTTTTTTTCCATATCTGAAGGTTAGCAATAAATACAAAATTAACGAAACCCCATTACCGGGTTTTTTTTTTTTAAATATACGTCACGAGTACGTGTCATTTCTTTGTAAAATTTTATTTAATTACTATCCTGTAGGGTATTTTTAAAAATCATTTAATTTTTCTCTTATCGTGATAAATTTAAAAAGAAAAAAAGAAGAAAAATTTCACGTCAAATTATGTTAAAATCATATTTGATATGTAACGCGTGAAGCATTCCATTTTTTTTTTTTTGCGGTCGTTTATTGCAACAATTACGATGATTATGAAAAATTTTAATATTTTTAAGTTTAAAAATTGAACATCAAAAAAAAAAAAACGACGTGCACGGTTTTACAAAAGGGATTAATCGAAAAGTATTTTGAAATTTCACAACTTGATAATAATAATAGTAATAATAATGATAATAATTGAAATAATAAGTTATGGTTAATTCTTTGTTTATGTACCTTGATTCCTGTAAGACAATACTAATATGCAATACTAACCAAACAAAAAAAAAAAAGTAATTTAAAATTTATTTTATGAAAAATTAAGTCATTAATTGCATAACTTTTTTTTTTGTTTAAATAATTATTAAATACCATCATTGTATTATTTTTTTTTTAAATAATTCAACTTTTTTGAAAGAGTTTAATGAATGAGGGGATAGGGAAAATGTAAGTAGTTTGATAAATTATTAATAATAATAATAGATAAGAGTGAAAATTTATTAAATAACTTTAAAAACAATTTCTATTCATAACAACAATTATGAAAGAATTGATAAATTTTAAAAATTTCTCTTAATAAAAAGTTTTCAAAACTAATAAATTAATTTAATAATTAATTTTATAGGGATTTAAAGATGGTGTGATAAAAGTTAAAATTTTTTTAGCCATTTTTGTCTTTTCGAATCACCAGAGTTTAAATAAAAAAAAAAAAAAATTATTTAAATTATTTGTTATTAACAATTAGTCACATTGGGAAATAAATAATTGTTTTTTAATGTTGTGTCATTTCCTTAATACTTAAAATTATATCAGTGAGGTAAAAATTTTTCTACATTTAATGTTATATAACAAAAAAAAAAAAAAAAAAAAAAAATTAAAACAAAACCTTGAATTAATAATCATCACAATTATTCTTTAAAACATCACACACATAAATATATAAATATATTATTTTGCAAGGTTGTATAAAATTTTAATAAGTGTTTATTCGTAAAGAGTAGTAGTAACCAATTATTAAATCATTTAATTTAATTTAATTATAATTTCTTCCTGTTTATTTATTTTTTTTTTTAGGGTCAAATATTGTGTGATGATAATTATCTCATTTGTTTTTCTTTTCCTTTATTTTATTAACTCGAGTTTTAAATTAATTACCTGCTCTATTCTAAAAATGACTTGTTAGAATTTCTCATCAAAATTCTTTTAGAAAATTACTTTAAATATAACTGAAAGAAAAAAAAAATTATTTATAACCATGTGTGTGATTCATTTAATTATTTTTATCATCTATCAGATTATATTTTCCAAATTTTTAATCATATTAACCTTCTTTTTTTACAAAAAAAATAAATTAAAATGATATTTTTGTATAATGAGAGGGAAATAATAAAAAGTGTAAATTGTATGTGAAGGGATTAAACAGGTTTAAGAAAATTAGCACAAAATAAAACATCTATTTATGGCTTGGCCTGATAAAAAAAATTTTGTTTTTACCATTGAATTATAAACGAGTTGCAATTAAAGGGTTATAAAAAATAAAAACTCTCTTTCTATTAATAATTTTTTTATATTTAAGACTTAAAAACAATCCAAAATCCAAGCTTAAAAAATAAGTCTGTGAGGATATTGGGTTTTTTTCAATCCAAACATTGCAGCCAAATATTTGATTATTAGAAGATGGTCTCTGTGGCCTTTAATTGCTTTTATAACTGCTTTGTCAACTTCCTTTTGATCCAATTTCCTCTTTTCCGAAACTGTGTAAACCTGTAAATTATGAAAACAAACAAACAAAAATAAATAAATTGTTTCCTAGGAAATTTTTTGTGTGATTCAATAAATTTATGTTTTCATGAATGGAGGCCCAACTTCAATATAATTATCAAAAATTGGGGCATAAAATGAAATTTGCTCTCTGAGGTCCTTTAGCATTAACAAGATATAATTAAATTGTCAATGACTCTAGGCTCAGGTTATACAAATAAAAAAATAAAAAATTTATATTGATGCTCTCTTACCTCAACCTTCTTGGCAAAAATGTCACCTTCTTCTTTCTTAGCCCTCTTAGGCTTTATTCTTCTGAAATATTCATCATTTAAATGTTCGGGCACTTTTACTTTATTAATATTCACTCTTGTTTTTGTTGCAATAACATAATTTTGAGATATTCTTCGAAGAGGGCATCCATTAATTTTGAAAGGACCTAATGTGCAAAAAATGAAATGTAAAAAAATATTGAAACTTGTTACTAAATGTTGCGAAAAAAAATTTTACCTGCGAGAATGTTACTGACCTGTGATAAGCAATAATCCACTCTTAAGAACTTTAAGCAAAACTACCCTTTTACCCTTATGCCTACCAGCCAACAAAATGCAAACTCTTCCAGGAAGTAAAGATTTCCTGGTATAACGTGTATGTTGGCTAAAAGTTTTCTTTGATGGATGACGATTAATTCTAAGAAATTTAAAAAATTAATTTGTAAATTTCAGGTACTATTTTACAAGAAATTGTTTATATTTAACATCAAAGCAATTGTTTCATAAAGAGGTACCCAACAACATATTGACATGAAGTCGGGGCATAAGCAATGATATTTTAATTTCTGAGAACTTCAGCATTGCCAATACTGTATAATAGTTTGGTAATGACTCTAAGTCTCAGTACTTTTAATTGTTTTACAATATTCTTAATGAACATATACATAATTACCTTTTCGCAGTTGGGTAGTAGTTACGCCTTTTTCTTAATAATACAATACGCTTTCCACCATTTTTATCACCTCCAATTGGTTTTTCTACAGTTTTCGGCTTTTTAGGCTTCACTTTCTACTTAAAAAAACCATAAAATAAATTATTACCTAAGCTTTATATTACAATAAAAATAAACGTGACTAAAGCATATTGTTTACACACCTTAGGATTTTTTTTCCCAATAAACTTGTATTTAGCTTTTTTGTGGAACATTTGGGTCCTGCTAAACCTGTAGACACCATTGCCAAGATCGTAGTTTCTTGGACGACCCTTCTTTTTCTTCTTGGCGCTTTTAGTTTTTACGACAGATTTAGCTACTTTACCATCTTTTACGCTTTTGGTTTTATCATTCTTAGGAAGCACCTTGGCCTCCGGCTTCGTAGGAGCCATATTCCAGAGAAGAAAGTCCTGTAAGTTTAAAAATAAGGTTTAATAGAACGATACATATTTTTCACTCAAACAAAACATTTTGGCACATTTGCACACTACTACAAATTTCGAGATCTACTAAAACTTAAAAACAGGTATCGAATTATTCACAATTCTAATAAGTATGAAGTTTATAGGAGAAAATTTTTTTAAAATAGAGCTAGTATTATTAATAAAATAATTGGATTCGTTGGATTTATAATTTAAGTTAGAAATTTTTCCACGTACCTCTGGCTCGACACTATTGGATTGTAGACAGTGCTTTAAGTTTTGTTATGTTGGTACAAGAAAGTTTCACTTTATTTCTCGCTATAAATTTAATTTTTGTAAACGGTGTCACATGACCTGTTGAAAGGATTTCAAATCGAAATTCATTAATGGCGACTGGAATCAGTAGTGTTCGCGCTGATGGATATTCAAAATTTAATAATGAATTTGTTAATCTGGAAGAAACCTTACCGAGTTCTAAAAAGGGTACACAATTTAAAACCAATATACTTTAAATAATTTTTTAAAATTATTAATTTAAATCAATTTATTTTAAAATTATGTAAACTACTCCGATATATCTATCGTAGTTTATTTAAATTACCTGTAAATTTTAAATTGTTATTTTTCTTAATTTTTATTTAAAAAAAAAAGAAACAAAAAAAATTTTTTTTTTATTTACTAATAATTTCAAATTATTTTTTTATTATTATCATTAAGAAAGGAGTTTTTTGCAATACTCTTTGTTTACAGATCATCCTAGTATTAATATAAGTTTGAATGAAGAATATCAATGTGAATTAGGTAGTTCAAATGGCTTAAATAGAGAAGAAGTTGTCGAACTACAGAATCGAGGAAATTCTTCTAGTAATAATGGCAATTTCTGGGAGTTAAATTATCATGAAGCTGCAATTTATCTTGAGGTAGAATTCTACTCAATTCTTATTAATGTAGGAAATTATTTCTATCACAAATCTTAGGAAAAACTGCTTTCTTATTTCCAAAAATTTTCACAATAATTTTTAACTAACCTTGCACATAAAAAATAATCTCTATATCAAAATATAGGCACCCATCCAGAAGTTGACATAGGTTGGAAAAATACCTAGTCACTCTTTCACTGTAATTTTTGGTAGGAAGGAGAGAACAATGAAAAGTTCAGTTCCCATCCAAAGAATGCTGAAGAGCTACCAGCTTATCTTCTTGTACACAATACATGGTATTATGGACTGGATTTATTTACATCAGTTTTGTTGTTACTCTTGGCTTTTGTTGAAGAACCAGCAGTTCCACTTTTTAAATTACCAGTAGGTGCTCATGGATCAATAGAATTACTTTGTCTTCTTGTCATTGGGGGAGAGTTAGCTTTAAAATTAAGATGGATTGGTTGGAAAACAGTTTTACATCACAAAAGAACAATGTTAAAGGCAGGTCTATTTTATTTATTTCTTTTAAAATAAGCAAGTTTATATTGTTTAAATAAATAATTTAAAAATTTTTGTAGGGTACAACATTAGTGATAATGTTTGTAGAGGCAGTTACAGTTGTGATTCGACAATCATCTCATTTTAGAGTGACAAGAGCTTTAAGGCCAATTTTTATTGTAGATACTAAACATTGTGGAGGTGTTAGACGATTTATTCGTCAAATTTTTCAATCATTACCTCCTATTTTGGATATGATGGGTTTATTATTATTTTTCGTTTCCATTTATAGCTTATTAGGGTTTTTTTTATTTAGCAATAATCCCAAAGATAAATACTTCACAAGTTTGGAAGACAGCTTTATCAGTTTATTCGTTTTACTTACTACAGCTAAGTAAGAATTATTTAATATTTGTTTAATTATTGATAATAAGTGCATTTTAAAAAATACTATTTGAAAATTATTAGTTTTCCAGATGTCATGATGCCATCCTACTCTAAATCAAAATGGAATGCAATATTTTTCATATCATATTTATGTATAGTTTTATATGTATTAATGAACTTGGTAAGTTTTTGTTGCAACTATTAACTGTTGTTAAAAAAATTCCATAAATGTAATGCATTATTTATACAATTACAGATGTTAGCTGTAGTTTATGAAACCTTTACTAGAATTGAAACGGAAAAGTTTAAAAAACTTTTGTTACATAAAAGGAAAGCATGTCAACATGCTTTTAAATTACTAGTTACAGTGCAAGAAGCGAACAAAATTGAATTCAAACATTTTAGAGGACTGATGAGATATTATGCTCCCAAAAAGTGTGAGTAAATTTACCGATTTTTTTAAATAACTTAATCAACTTAATGTTTAATACTAAAATTAATTTTCTTTTTAATTTAGCTCTGAGAGATGTTGTTTTAATGTATAAGCAACTCAATACATCTGGAGCAAATGGATTATCATTAGAAGAGTTTTATTCAATTTACGACGCAAATGAATTACTTTGGGAAGCTCAATTCAGTAAAATTCCATGGTTTCATGCTTCATGGGAGCCAATACAAGTGATTTGCAGGTTTTGCAATAATTTAACAAATTGGTCTTATTTCGAACACATAATTTGTAAGTATTTATTTCACTCTATGATCAATTATCATTTTTCAAAAAAAAAAAAATCATGATAACTAGTTTTTTTTTTTTTTGTTAAGATTCACTAGTTGTTGCAAATCTTTTTGCAATGATAATTAGAACTGCTGAATTAAATCCGAATGATTTAAATGAATCTGCCAGATTGTTTTGTGCATCATGGGACACAATTTTATTTTTAGGATGTAAGTTAATCTAAATTGTTATTAACTTTGAATTATTATTGTAGTTAGTTATTTAATTTCAATATAAATTTTCTTATTGTAGTATATGCATTAGAAGCACTCATAAAAGTTTTGGGAATGGGTATCACAAGATACTTTTCTTCAGGGTGGAATTTATTCGATTTTACAGTCACACTTCTAGCACTTTTAGGTGTTCTTTTGCTATCGGTTTTTCCAAATTTTATTTATGTTGTATTGTTAAGGCCACTGAGGTAGTTTTTAAAAACTTTTTGTACAATTATTTGTTGACCCATATGCAATTTAACAATTTTTTTAAAATTGTTAAAAATTTTTTTTTTTTTTTAGGCTCATTCGTCTTTTTAAAACGAAAAAAAGATATCGAGATGTTTTCGGGACTGTAGTTATTCTTTCTCCTTTAATGTGCTCAGTCGCAGTTGTTATGCTGGTTATGTATTATTTTTTTGCAATAATTGGTATGGAATTATTTGCTGGATATGACATGAGAAATTGTTGCAAGTAAGTTTTCTAAAAGATATTGAATGATTTAAAAATGAGGAAAAATTTTTATTTTGATTCAAACAACTTTTTTACAGAAACACAACAGTGGAAGAATTTTACAAGTTCAGTAATAATGATTCAAATTCTCTCAGTTATTATTATTTGAATTCATTTGAAAATCTTTTAACATCTGGTGTTACATTATTTGAACTCACTGTCGTGAACAACTGGTTCATCGTCATGAACGGATATGTGTCAGTTGCACATTCATATTCTAGACTTTATTTTATCGCTTTTTATTTATTCACTATGGTTGTGCTTACTATTGTAGTTGCTAGTGTACTTCAATCATTTAGATTTCGTATTCATTATAAAAGACAAACGAGCAAAAGAGATGGTAAGAATTTAGTTAATTTTAAATCATTCGCATAAAGCTCTTGAAATTGCTTCAAAAGTACTCGAAGAAAATTGAAATTTAAAAAAAAAAAAAAAAAAAATGTATTTTAATCAATCAAACTAACGCTCTGAGTCTATTAATTGAAATTTTCAGAAGAGAAAATGCTTCACGAAGAAATTCATTTAAATTGGGACGATATTCAAAATTGGATAGAAGATCATCGCCTCATGGAAGCTTTGAAAAATGATCTTATTATCGGGGTAAGTAGTAAAACATTAGAAGTTATAAAAATGTTGAAAAATGAAATAAATTTTGGTTAACTGTAACTTTAAAAAATTTTTTTTTTTTGTAGGGGACCACTACATTCATTGGATGTCGTCCTAGAAATAAAGACGTTCTTCAGAGAAGAATGTACAGGAGCGAAATTGACGAATGGATGAAAGAAGCTCAGTTGGAAGAAAAAAGAAGCCAAAGAATAAACGCGGAAGACGAACACGTTATTTTAAGTACGGATCACGTCATTTTAGGCGTGGGAACGGAAAGGAGAGCCAGTAATATTATTCGTTAATTTATCGATATATCGATTCGATCGATCTATCGAACGAGAAAAAGCCGAAATAACGTTTTATTGATTTTTAATATTAGTCAATATCATTTTTGAGAAGTTTGTGTTTTCCCTTAGGTTCCTTGATTTAAATTATTTTTATTATTTTAACTCACGTTAAGCAATATTGTTTTAATGGTTTCGTATTAGAAAATTAAATTTTTTAAACAAGTTTTTTCCGATAACACATGGATTTAAAAATGAGATTCATAAAAAGTAAGTCATTTTTTTTTTTTTTAACACCATTTATAATTATTAACGTACGCTTTAGTTTTGAGAATTATTTATTATATAAATATTTATAGACTGATTTGGTACTATTAATTTCTTTTTTGAGATTATTTTTTTTTTTTCGAAGAATCAAATTATTTTAGTGCAAAAAAAAAAAAATTATTTTATTTTATATATTAAGAATGTGCATTGATTTTATTTTATTTAAGGGTAATGGGATTCCATTAATTAATGGTAGCATTTCACGTTATTTTTTTTTTTTTTGGTTTTTCTATCACACTTTTAATTTATTTTTATAAAATTTGTTAATGATAGCAGGATATTAAAAAAAAATATATATATATACATATATAATTTATTTATCACCGAAAAAAACAATGTTCATATACTTTTTTTTTCAAACTGCTTTAAGTAAACCTTTTTCATTTTGTCGGAAGAATTTAATTCCTTTTTTTTAAAGCTAAATAAAAAGTTTTGGTTGTTGGGAAAAATTTTTTTTTTTTCGGTTTAATTACGCTTGTAATTAATAAATTTAATATAGGAAAAATCAAATTGATTAAGATAGGATAATAATAATAAAAAAATAAAAAAGTATCAAATTATTTTATTAATTATTAAATAATAATATTTATTAAATTTTATTCATCTTTTTTTGCATCATGTTTGGTAATTGAAAAATCTAGTCGTACATAAATTATTACCAATAGAAACATTATATAAAATGCAGCTATGGCTAAAAGCGGCTCCTGAAGCATCAAAACTTTTGGGAATGTGTAACTTAATTCAAAATCTTGAATGTGATTTTCTACAAGGTTATCTTTTTTCAATATAATAACTTTCCTGCCAGATGTATCTAAATATGTAAAATGCAATTCATCAGGCAACCTTTGAACTTGATAAGGAGTTTTCAATTTAACATTTGTCGTTCCTTCTGGTAAAATTATTTTGGTTATTAAATTTTCAACTACCATATCATCGAATATGTGATCAAGTATTCTTAGCTTCAATAAATATTGATTTCCAGAATTGTACAGGTATTCATAACTGGGTACATTGTAGCCCAATGTGTATTTCGTTTTCCATCCACCGAATAATGGAAATCTTGGTCGTAGATCAAGTTCTACTGAATCTGGAAGAATTCTCATGTGTGAAGTTGAAATGTTTCCAATTTCATCTCTATAGTAAGCATCTGTTGCTGATGCAGGTAAAATGGTTTTAAATGATTTAACACTTGATAAACCTGACTGCGATTCTCTCTGATAATCATATCTTGAAAATGAATTTTTTAACAATGCTCCTTTATGTTCCATACTTATAGTTTCTTCAATAGCAATATTTCCCCAATGAGATACTTCAATGACTCTTTCCAAATTTGTGACAGTAACAAATGGAGAATTATTTTCATAGTGAACAACCATTTTTTCAATAGAAAAGGGTTCTACATTACTGTAAGGTCCATAAACTACATTGGTATCACTAAGGCTGGTAGGTTTAATTTTAGAATAATTTTCTACATTTTTTGTTCCAAGCATAACAGTTGTAACTTGTTTAAGTGTTTTATAAGGGCTGTAGAAGTAAGCATTTCCGGTATACAACAATAATTGTTTTTCTTTTTGAGTTATGGCTGCAGGATAAGGTTTTAAATTATGAGTAAGTACGGTTTCGATTTCAACAGTAGTCGATTTTCCAGGTTGAAGATTATTATTTAATTCCACCTTCCACAATAGCTTATCTTCATGTCCTTGTACATTAGTGAATAATATTTTTAAATTCTTTTTTCCCTCTAACGAATGGCAGCTAATAAAGGAAATGCTCGGCTTTAGGTCTTTTTCCATAGCAAAATGAAATGTTTTTACTGGTGATTTACCAGTATTTTCCATTGTTACTTTATAAGTGGTTTTAACGAGCTGTGAAGTAATGTCAATCGCCCGGTCTACATTATTATTAACTATGTCTGTATTTACTGTGTCTGTTGCAAGAACGGTAACGAAAATAGCTAAAAAAATACTCCCCGTGAAATAGGCAAACATTTTTTCAGTTTGATTAACCAGAATATTAATATAAATAAATGAAATTTCCCATAGATCCAAAAACTACCACGCAAACACACACACTCGACTATGTAAAATTATTTCGGGGTAGCCAACATTTGAAAATCTAAATTTTTGTGTTGCCGCCATGATTTGGCTGCAGTAACTGTAACGGTTAACCAGTAGTTTTATATCAAGGTAAGAATTTTAATAAATAATTTCATTTATTTCTTAAGCATAATGTCTTGAACTTTTTCTAAAGAGTATTAATGGGCTAATTATTTGTTAAAGAGTTGGAAATTATTGTTGTAAACTTCGAATAAGCAATTTTTTTTTATACAAAGGAATTGGAAAAATCAAGCAAAACAATAATTTTTTTTTGTCAAGCAAATATATATATATTTAAAATAAATAAAAAATTAATACTTGAATTGTTTTGATATAATCAAAAGTAAAATGTAATAAAGCAGTTATTTTTGAAAATTTATTTTTGGAATGAATACCACGTAATTATATGCTTAAAATAAAAAAAAAAAAATACAATAAAAAAAATGCCATTACTATAAAGAAGCATATTTTTCATAAAACATAAAGCAATATACAATATTTGGAGATTAATTACTTTTTTAAAATAAAAATAACAAAACTTCAAAATTAAACATATGAATTAGAGTAAAAAAAAAAAAAATTTTATCAAAGCTTGATGTTTTTAGACATTTATATAATGAAATACCCATATTAAAAATTATTGTCAGATTGTGCTATTAACATTATGATATGTGAAATATCAAAACAAGAATTTACAAAAAAAAAGAAAATTTTTGTATATATAAAAATATTTAGTTGAATTCATCCGAGTTCTGCCAATACAGAATTTAAGTCTTCTTGAAGTGTAAGTGCCATTTCTTTTTGTTTATTCAATTCATCTTTGTACCTATCTACATTGGCTTTTAACAAATAATTACCCTTTTTAAGACTAGACAACAAGTTTTCATGTCTTTTCGTTCTACTTTGTAAATTGATTTTCTTTTTTTCCAATGGTGCAGATTCAGGTAAATCTCCTTCAGATTCTTCAGATTCTGACTCTTCAGTTTCCTCTTCTTCTTCTTCTGATGATTCTTCTTCTTCATCTTCAATTTCCTCTTCCTCTTCAACATCTTCTTCATCATCTTCTGCTAATAATTTTGACATTTTATCAACTTCCTTTTGTAAAACTTTGTAATTTTTCTTTTCATCTTTTATCGCTTTTTGCATTTTACTCATTTGTTCTTTCAATGCTTTTCTCTCCTTTTTGGCCACTTCTTCTTTTCTCTGAAATTTTATATTTTCCAGTTTAATTAGTTTTAAAATAAAAAAAAAAAAAAACTTTAATAAGGAAATGAATTGAAAAGCAGAAACGGTTCAAATATTATTACTTTATAAGATTCAAGTTTTGCTGTTAAAAGTTTGAGTTCTCTCATTAATCTTCTTTCTTTTTGTGCTTCTTCATCTTCTCCATTGTCTTCACTTTCTGTTTCTGTTTCTGTTTCAGTTTCTTCTTCTTCTTCCTCCTCAGATTCTTCAGGAGAGTCTGGGGCCACTGCAGTTTCATGAATCTATATACACAATAATCATGTAAAAAAAAAAAAAAAAAAAAACTTGTAGGGTTAAAACATGCTAACTTTTTTTAACAAAAAAAAAAAAAAAATTTAGTGAACCTTATTTTGGTGTATTATTTTTTTGCTTGGTTGTTTTGTCAATGGCTGTGATCCTGAAAGGTTAGCTAAATTAGCAGCCTGAGCAACTTTTAATTGTTTTTCTAGCCTTTGATTTTTTTGCGTTGATTCCTCTAAATCTAATTTAAGTAAATCATATTGTGCATTTATATCATGAAATTTATTTTCCATTTCTTCAGCCATTTCTTTAGCCTTTTTAGCTTCTTCCCTTAACGTTTGAATTTCCTATTAATGTACATTTTTTCTTATAAATTTTAAATTATCAATATACATGACAGCATCATTAAGAATAATAATAATAATAACCTTTTGTAAATCACTGCTTTCTACCGGCGTTTCTTTGTTAGTTTTAAATTTTTCTTTTTCCAATTCAACCTCTAAATTTAATAATTTCGTTACCAGTTTTTTATTTTCTCTTTCCAATGCTTCTTTGTTTTTGAGTTCCATTGCTAAAAGTTGTTTTGTACTTTGCAAATCATCTCTTACTTTATCGATATCGTCTACTTCGTCCAAAGGATCAGGTTCAGGTTCGACGATTCCAAGTGATGCCATAGAAGCAGATTTTTGAATTTGCTCTTCGATTGTCATCTGCCTTCTAAATTTTCTAAGACCTATAAATATTTTTATATTTATCATACAGGTTTATTCAAATTATAAAGGCAGCATTTGGTTAATCGTACCTTCGATAAAAGGTTTACTCCTGTCGTTGGTTTTTGTTGGCTTCAACTTAATTCCGGTTTCTATTTGTTTTAGGAGTTGATTGTGCAAATTCGGTCTTTCAGATTCGTAGACAAACTGAAAAATTTTCACGTGTAAAAGTTTTCACGTTTGATAATAATCAGTGCTCATTATTATTATTATTATATATATTGTACCTGTCCTTTTGCCTTGACCCTTGGTAAAAGTGGTGCACTCCTATCGTTACATTTAACATGATTTAATTTTCTACCACTTTCGATTTCTTTCATTACGTTACCCCAATCCGGCCTTTTTTTCGGACGAGATCTTAGTGCTTCCAATTTTTGTTTCTTTTCAGGCGTTAATGTCGATTTCACTGTCGACAAAAAAAAAAAAAATCTTGTATTAGTTTAGTTGTTTAACCGCGCCCCTCCCTCTACTGTATTCTTTACGTGAAGGACAATTTATTTTGTTATGGCAGGATGACGGATGATCACGACAATATAACAGATTTTTTACCATTTTATGTCGTTTAAAATGAATTTTTTTCAGTAAAATTTTAATGTACAATTAGAAACGTCATTTTCTCCAAGTTTTATTTTTCTTTTTTGTTTTTACGACGGTTAAAAATTGACATTGATTCGAATGTAATAAATTTCATTTAAAAAAAAAAGACCGATCGACGGGGGGGGGGGGGCAAAAGGAAAAAAAAAATGGCACGACGCATTTCGCGTATTGTGTAATACAAGATGTGTTACGTTTAAATTTATTTATGATTCTCTTTTAAAAACATTCGGAAAAAAAAAAAAAAATGAAAAGCGTGGGAAGAGAAGCGTGATGGAAGCGTGGTGGGGTGGGGGGGGGACGGGGAGAAAAAAAAACGGTTTTTGCAAACTTTGGCAATTCGCAATATATTAATATTTGCATGACTTAACGTTGGTTTCACGTAATAAGAAAAAAAAATGGGGGGGAAAGCGAGAAGGGGAAAGGCAAATGTTTAAGACAAAGAAAAAGGGTGTGAAGAGGCCGCCTATAGGCCAAGGGGGGGGGAGAGAGAGGCCTCAGCCATCCTTCTTATCATTATCGTGTCATCATCATTTTATTCAATGCCTGACACGGTTGAGGTTGCCCAAATTTATTAAAAACCTTGATATAAATTCTATTTTAATATTAGCTGATTAAATTTTTAAACGAAAATAAATAATAATAATAATAATAATAATAAAAGGAACGTAAAGGATAAAATGTTATACGTAACGGAACGTATTCGTTTGTCTGTTTGTTTGTTTGTTTTAAATTAAAAAAGAAAAATCTTGTCTGGGATTTTATTTAAAAATTTTTTTTCCTGTTTAAATTTTATTATTATTATCATTATCATTATTATTACGTTTAAAAATTTTTTTTTTGGCAAACTCGAAGCTTTCATTACATGTAAATATTTATTTTACTTAACGATGAAATATACAGTTGGAAAACTTTTTTTTTTTTTTTTTATATATTATTGACGTTCGTATTTATTGTTTTGAAAATAAAAAAAAAAAAAAAAATGACGTCACGTTCGCATAACTACCACTAACTAATTCATATTAACTTACCCAAATCTTTTTCCGATGGAGGTGGAGGTGGTGGTGCCGGAGGTGCCGGTGGCATAAAAGGTGGAGGTTTCGGAGGACCTGGAATTTTATCCACAGGTTTGACGACTTGATTTTCCAGGGGTGGTTTAACCATAGTTTTCGACGTCGTTTTTTCAATTTTTATTGGAATACTGACTTCCGATGTTCTTCTGTCGGTCGGTAGGGGGGGTTTTTGTACAGGTTCCGGTATCCTTTTCACCGGTTGCTCCGGCATTATGTTTTTCGCAAGCATATCTCTATTTCCGGGTGGCATCGTACCATTTTCTCTCGTCGTCGGTGGTAAATTTGTTTTTTTTTCAACAGGTCCAACCGTAGGAGGAGGAGGAGGAGATGGTTTATCCATAGAAGGTTGCTTACGAAGTTGTTTTAAAAAAGGCGGTGGATTTTCTTGCTGGAAATAATATTAATAATAATAATAATAATAATAATTTTCTTTGTGACATTCCAAAATGAAAATTCGAAATCGTACCTTATTTTCGGATGGTTGAAAATTTCTATTTGATTTAACCCATGGTTGACTCGGCATGGGAATCGGTGGGGGGCCCTCTTTAACCCATGGGGGCCTAAACGTTTGCCTCGGTTGGTTTCCTGAAGTGTTTGATCCTCCAGGACCGACAGGCATTTTTGGAATTATCTATAATTGAAAAATTTTTTTAAATCTCAGGTTTTATTAAAAATTTATTTTAAAATCGTAAATAAATAACCTGAAATTAATAATAATAATAATAATCGTATTAGGTTTGTTTCATTAACTTTTGCATAAACAACCAAATCGTTCAAATCATGAAAGAAAAAAAAATTTTTCTGCTGCTGTTGTTGTTGTTGTATTTTACCCAATCGATGACTTGTAAATATTTAAATAATTTATTTATTTATTTTTGTGTTGAATGAAACAATAACTTTGAGAATGAAAAATTCAAATAATTGGGACGTTCAAACTCTATATTTATCTGTCGGCCATTTTTAGTTTAACTAAATTACTTTTTTGTGTCATATTTATCCTTAACCTAATTTTTTTTAAATAAAAAAATCAAAATGTCGAATCGCTTTTCATCGATGTGAATAATAAAAGAGAAAAATTTTTTGATGATTTTATAAATTTTAATGTTTTTTTTTTCTCCCCAATGTTACAAAATTAACTTCACTCTTGTATTTATTATTATTATTATTATTATTATTCTCGAAAGAAAGTAAAAAAAAAAAATGGTTAGAATTCTTTTGAAAACGAAAAAAAATAAATTTAATAAAATATAAGTTAATAATTTAACTTTAATGAATTATTATCATTATTAGCTTACACTTTTATTGTTATTATTATTATTATTATTATTATTATTGTTATTCACATAATGAATTTTCACTTGCCTAATTTTCTTTTAATCCACAGTTTTCCGAATAATAATAATAACACGATTTTTTATTTTTTTTAAAATTTTTTTACTCCGATTTTTTGAAAATTTTATTTTATAAAAAAAACTTATAATGATGATAATAATTATTATTAACAAAAAAAAATAATTAATAATAATAATAATAAAATAAATGTGAATCGGTAATCATTCAATAACAAACTAAAAAAAAAAAAAAAAAAAAAACTTTTTGGCATCGTCACATTTCATCAAATAGAAATTTTCGCTTATAAGACTGGCCAAAATTTTTTTGATCTTGAATTTTTTTGCGCCAAAAAATATTTTTGAAAAATCGAGGAGCATCATCGATAGGTCGAAGGGGATAAGTGACCTAGAACCCTATTGGGGATGCGTCGATCCTTGTTCGAGGGGGTGTGAAACTGGGGACTTGTTCCAAAATAGGGAAAATGCGGAGCTGTGAGTGAAAGAAAGTCAGATATGATCAATGGGATTCGCAATCCCAGACATCTCTCTCTCTTTTTCTCTCCCCGGACATTCGCAGATTCTGCAGGAACGATGGTTACAGATCGGGAAATTCACTGGAAGGGTAAAAAGGGGAAGTACCGGGATCTTCTTCAAATGGGTGCTCGAGTGCGGACCTGATAGTTCTGGCTCAGGAGGGGGTTGAGGCTGAAACGCGAGTTAAAATTCCCGCGAGCGCCCCTCCATCCAGGAGGGGTTTTGGTTGGGTGGTGGCTTTGGCTGAGTCCCCTCACACCCCCCCTGCTACCGGTTGGGAAAGTCAGTTCGAAATGCATAGGAGTAAAAAGAAATTTTTGTTTAAAAAAATCAAAAGAGAGAAACTTATTAATTTAAAAAAAAAAAATTTTGGACAGTCGCCTTTTGAAAAAGAGAGAGAGAGAGGGAGAGAGAGAAAGAGCGTGTAGGTGTAAGAAAGTTATTTTCGAATACATTCTCACACTGGCAAAAATTTTTTTGCCGGATATAATTATTATTATTATTATTCGATGTCTTCGTATTTTTTTTTTTTTTTTCGTAAATATTTTTCACACTTGAAAATGATTTGATTAATATTATCATAAAGATCAAATATTATTATTATTATTATTTCAATGAATGAGAGGAATGAAAAAAGGAGAATAAAAGTATCATTATTATTATTAGTCATTTGTTTTTTTTTTCAGGTATATATATATTTTTTTGCAAAGCATGGTTCGAGGATTTTAGTTTTGTAAAACATGTCGACGTTTGGATCTAGAACGAACAGATCAGTGGCAACGTCGAGCAGTTCGAGACGTTTAAGGTCGGCACAATTGGAAGAACAATTAGTGAGAAAAAGACAAGCCGAATACGAAAGATTGAATTTTTGGAACGATAATTGTACCTATTTTAAAACATGGGATTTTAACACTAATTTGTATTCGAATTGGATAACCAACGAGACGAGGTTGACGAAAAAAGTCATTTAAAAAAAAAAAAAAGGTACGAAAGACGACGACGACGACGACAGCTAAAGGTTTATGCGTTTTGTTTCAGTTCTACGAAATTGCAAGATGCCGAAAGGATACAAAAGAAAAAAGAAAATTTGGAAAAACGTCGTCAGAAATTAAAAGAATTGTTCGAAAAGGAAGAGAAAATGTTTGCGGAAGAAATGGATAATAAGAAGAAGAGAAAACAGGTTTTGATGGAAGATTTGAACGCGATTAACGTTGAATTTATGCTCAGGGAAGAAGAAAAGAAAAGAAAAGAAAGAGATTTGAAAATGTATCATTATTGGAGGCAAAATCAACCGAGTTTGAGAGATGTAAGGTTCTCTCTCTCTCTCTCTCTCTCTGACTCTTTGACACTTTCTCTCATTCTGACTCTCTCTCTCTCACTCTGACTCTCTCTCTCTCTCTCACTCTCTCACTCTCTGACTCTCTCTCTCTCGCTCTGACTCTTCCTCTCTCTCTCTCCGACTCTTCCCATCTCTCGCTCTGACTCCCTGACTCTCTTTCGCTCTGACTCTCTCTCACTCTGACTCTTTTTCTCTCTGACTCTCTCTCTCTCTCACTCTCTGACTCTCCGACTCTCTCTCGCTCTGACTCACTCCCTCTTTCTCTAACTCTCTGACTCTCTCTCTCTCTCTCTGAGTCTCCCTCTCTCTCTCACTCTGACTCTCTCTGTCTCTCTCTCTCTCTCTGAGTCTCCCTCTCTCTCTCATTCTGACTCTCTCTGTCTCTCTCTCTCTGACTCCCTGACTCTCTGACTCTCTCTCACTCTGACTCTTTTTCTCTCTGACTCTCTCTCTCTCTCACTCTCTGACTCTCTCTCACTCTCTCTCTTACTCCCTGACTCTCTTTCGCTCTCACTCTCTCTTCGACTCTCTCTCTCTCTCACTCTCTCTTCGACTCTCTCTCTCTCTCTCTCTCTCTCTGACTCCCTGACTTTCTGACTCTCTCCCTCTCTGACTCTCTGACTCTCTCTCTCTCTCTCTCTCTCTGACTCCCTGACTTTCTGACTCTCTCCCTCTCTGACTCTCTGACTCACACTCTCTCTCTCTCACTCTCTGACTCTCTCTCTCTCTCACTCTCTGACTCTCTCACTCTCTGACTCTCTCTTCGACTCTCTCTCTCTCTCTCTCTCTCTGACTCCCTGACTTTCTGATTCTCTTTCACTCTCTGACTCTCTGACTCACTCTCACTCTCTGACTCTCTCTCTCGCTCTGACTCTTCCTCTCTCTCTCTCTCTCTCTGACTCTCTTTCGCTCTCTCTCTGACTCTCTCTCTCTCTGACTCTCTTCCTCTCTCTCTCTCTGACTCCCTGACTCACTCTAACTCTCTGACTCTCTCTGACTCTCTGACTCTCTCCGACTCTGTCTCACTCTCTCATCGACTCTCTCTCTCTCTCTCTGACTCCCTGACTCTCTGACTCTCTCCGACTCTTCCTCACTCTCTCTCTCACTCCGACACTCTGTCCCTCTCCGACTCTCTCTCACTCTCTTTCCGACTCTTCCTCTCTCTCCGACACTCTCTCACTCTCTCTCTCTCTCCGACACTCTCTCACTCTCTCCCTCTCCGACTCTCACTCTCTCCCTCTCCGACTCTCTCTCACTCTCTCTTCGACTCTCTCTCTCTCTCTCTCTCTGACTCCCTGACTCTCTGACTCTCTCTCACTCTGACTCCCTGACTCACTCTAACTCTCTGACTCTCTGACTCTCTCCGACTCTTCCTCTCTCTCCCTCTCCGACTCTCTCTCACTCTCTCTTCGACTCTCTCTCTCTCTCTGACTCCCTGACTCTCTGACTCTCTCTGACTCTCTCTCACTCTCTCTCACTCTGACTCTTTCTCTCTCTCTAACTCTCTGACTCTTCCTCTTTCTCTCTCTGACTCTCTCCGACTCTTCCTCTCTCTCCGACACTCTCTCACTCTCTCTGACTCCCTGACTCTCTGACTCTCTCTCACTGTGACTCTTTCTCTCTCTCTGACTCTTCCTCTTTCTCTCTCTGACTCTCTGACTGTTCCTCTCTCTTCGACTCTTCCCCTCTCTCGCTCTGACTCCCTGACTCTCTTTCGCTCTGACTCTTTCTCTCTGTGAAGATTTTAAAGAAATTGCGGTTTTTAAAAGTTTTTATTTGTTTTACAGTTCGAAAGGAAACAACATTCGGATTTTGTTAAAAAATCATGGATACAACAAGTGATTGAGAAGAGAAAAGAAAGAGAAGAGGAAGAGAAGAAAATGAAGGAACACATGGAAGAATTGAAACGGATACGAGAGGAATTCGATGCGAAGGATATGGAATTGAAAGAAGAAAGAAAGAAAACGGAAATGGAATTGAAAAAATTTTTAGAAGTGCAAATGGAATTGGTTAAATGTAAAGAAGAGGAAGAGAAAATATTGAAAAAAGAAGAAAAGAAAACGATGAAGTCGCAAAGAGAACTCGAGGACATGATAGAAGAGAGGAGAAAATTGGAGGAAAAAAGGAAAAATTTTGATTTGAGGTGATTGTTTAATAGAAAATTATTTTCCACCTCCTCCTCCTCGTCGTCGCGTCCATTCATAATTAAAGGAATTTTCTTTTTTTACAGTTTGTTTCACAAAAGACAGTATCAGTTACTGTTAAAAAGGAGAGCTAAAGA